GACGTGGTTGTTCAATCTCTCTCTTATGTGATCTATGCAGCGATGGTACCAACCGCACCCATCTATAAAAAAAAAAAGAGACCCACACGTGCCGTTATCTCTGAATGCGCCTCACTCCTCATAAATATAATATATTATTCTTGATAACGTTTCTCGTTTTTTGTCAGTCTGCCCCAGTTTCTTTTTTATCTGTTCTTTCCTTTCTGTCTTATCTTGACATTTGGGAATAGTTGGGTCTTCAGTTTGCGATCTGGAACAAACAAAGCACTTTAGCCGGCGCTTTCCTTTTTCACCAAGAATAAGTTTCTTCTTTTTCCGCTTTATACTGAAGTGAGCGGTTGGAGGATGCTCTAGTGTAGTTGGCTCCTTCTTTCCTATCAAGCATCTCGTCCTTATCTCTCCTCCTTCTTTTGTGTTTGTTACTCGTTGTAACATCTCTAATCTTGGCACTTTTATGACCTAATTGTGTTGTAAGGGTCGCAAAACTATTCTCCAGTAACAAAACTTCTAATTCTAATCTTGTGCATTTATATGGCGTATTTGTATTGTAAGTGTCATAAAACTCAATCTAAAACTAAACCAAACTCAAACCGGGGTTACACAGCGGTCGTATCAGGGTACATACAATGACATGGCATCATATTCTCGCTGTGGGGTCACTGCATATCAGGGTTGTCTATCAGTTTATCAAGAAGTCTGTACCTCGCATACAAGGATCGTCCACTCGATCTAGCGGGCTATTGCATATTAGGATTGTCTACCATACCTCACCTTTCTGTAGTTTAGACTCTACATATAACGAGTTAGGAGGGAGGGGGTCTACTGATCCTGGCTTTCTAAACCCCGTGGTATGAACACTGGCAACTTTATTGGCTCTTTTTAGATTTGGTGTTTTACGCCCCCATCCTCACAGTTTAGATCATTTGGAAGGCGGGCTTTGATCCTGCCTGTCAGGACCAACCCGGGCTGAGAGGGGCACAGTGTCCCAGCAGTAAAACGGGGAACTCGATAAAATCTCTCACTACACAGGAATCGAATTCTGGTCGACTGCGTACGATGACAAAGCACCTAACCTCTACACCACAGAGACTGATTATACCTCCATCGTACACATTCCCCGCATACTCTGTGAAACAAACATACAACCTCCCTTGAATACAGCACCGTAGTCTTTGAAGATAGTCAAGGTCGAGGCACCTCCAACTCCCAACACCAACACGGACAAGGAAAGCAACGGGTCCCTGGACCAGTTGACTGATCATAAACTGGTTTTCCTTCCATCGACTCAATTTTTCGAGAAGGAGGCGCGCTCCTTTGACCTGCCCATCGGGGCCAACATGAGCTTGGTGAGATATAGCGTACCAGAGCGTGGGTGCAGAATTTAACATTTCCGCTAAACGGAAATAGAACTCGGGTCTTCTGCATGCAAAGTTAAAGAGCTAACCTCTACACCACAGACGCTGTTTCTCGAACATGCATCAGGCTGGTATGGACTATAAGTGGTGCTTTTTTTTAATGTGATACTTTTGGGTATTAGCAGTAAACAAAAACAACAAAAATGTCGACTTCTCATGGCAAATAATCAACATTTTGTTATATCGCAAATATTCAGTTTTTAAAAATATATACGTTTCATCATTGGTTAGCTAGTTATATGTAAATTCGTATCATCATCATCAAGTGACAGATCTGCAGCAGACATCGGCGATCATTGTTCTCCATTCATTCCCTTGCTCGAATTCTCAGGTATCCCAAAACCGGCATTTGTCTTTTACTGATTGTTTTTAAGAGTGAGCGTCCCACGTGGGCTTCATAATACCATATGTCAGAATTATGTGCCGAAGGGCAAAATGTAGTTTAACTTTTAAAAACAGGTGTTTTTAAAGATTGCCTGCATTCAAACAATTTTATGTTCCAAGAGCGCTATTCCTTGAAATTTGAAGAATGGTTTAATTTTTTTTCGTATGCACATAATATCCAAAATAGCGTCTATTGTCTTTATGAAAAGCATGATTGTAGAATCTTTTAGAATCATTCCGACCACACATCTTTTCGGTGGGTGGTTGGCAGGTGCTCTGGTGTGGTTTGCTTCTTCTTTCCTATCAAACATCTTTCGTCCTTATCTCCCCTCCTTCTTTTTTTAGTTTTTTTTATTCGTTTTTTGTTTGTCCAGATATACTAACTTAAAATTCTCGATCTTTTGTCTCGCCTCTGAACCTGGTACTCTGAAATCGAAAATCACGTAAATCTCTGTGCACGTATTGAGATTTAATTTCTACAATTAAATGTATCTATATCTCTCTTAGGCCCCGCGCACATTTGAAAAAAACGTCTTCTTGTCTCATGGCTGGGAAATATGACGTCACTAATTGGTGAAGAAGAGAGATGGATAGGCGAAAATTTCTTCCTTAGTATACTCGCAGTAGTGCGATGAGCGGACATTTTCCTACAGTGTGCGTAGTAGCCCTCTAGCCGTAGTTCTCATGTGTTTTTTGGGGGGGGTTTTCTTGGTTTCTTTTAGGTTTGTTTTTTTTTGTTTTTTTTGGGGGGTTGAGCTTCGTCCACCCACTCCTGAATGGTGTCTAAGGTGTTGTAGTGAAACTCTTTGCTGTTGAAAGCAAAGAACGGGAGTTTAATTTCTTCGAAAATAAGTTTTTTCGTCTTTTTTCAGTTTCTTGTTTTGATTTTCTTCTTAATTTTTTAAAAAATCAGGCCTCTGTCTATCTTTTTGGATACTGTGTCTAACTAAGCCCAGGCTGACCCTGACAGACGAGGTCGAAGAAAGTCGCTTTTAAACAAGCTAAAATTGTGTCACTGGTGGTGTAAAAGAAAACGCCACATTAACACGTAGCCTTTAGCCGAAGATCTCTGTCCTTCCCAACACTTCTGCCCCACCTGTACGTATCACAACACCGTCTATTCATCATCTCTTGAGGCGCCTTCTTGGTGTCTTTTGTTTATTTTAGTAAGAGTTTTACGGCACTTGCAACTCAATTAGGTCATATAAATGCTGAAGGTTAAAAGTGTTGCAAGAGAGTAACAAACAAACTGAAGCACAGCCTCTCTATAATGACGTCATCTGGACCAGAAAAAAGTCGTTATAGAGAGTTGTAGTTATAGAGAGTTGTAGTTATAGAGAGTTGTAGTTATAGAGAGTTGTAGTTATAGAGAGGCAAACAAAAATATTACTAATGATATATAAGAAAGATTGGGACCTGGGCATCATGTCGCTATACAGAGGATGTCGTTATATCGAAGGTCGTTATAGAGAGGCTGCACTGTGCAACAAAAAAGGAGGAGAGATAAAGACGATAGATGTTTGACAGGAAAGAAGGAACAAACTACACCAGAGCATCCATCAAGCACCCGCTTCTTGATGTCTTTCATCTTCTAAGCTTACACAATGCAAACACTGAACACACCGCGACATAGAGACCTTGTGGTCTATTGAGGGGTCCGTGGATGCAGCCAAAAAAATGTGTCCGTGGAAGTCCGCGCATTGCTTCAGATGGCTCTGCAGTCTTTGTTTTGGAGCTCTCTTTTGTTTTTCACACAAGTAGGGTAATTCTGTTCGCAAAGTCCGCGCTTTTGCGAAGAGAGCGCCACCGAATTTTGAGGACACGTTTTAAATTGTCTCAAAGAAAGGAGGGAACGATCTTGTTATGCACGATCTTTGGTCGAACACAAAAGAAGTGAGTTCGATTCCCGAGACGTGAAGCTCTTTATATTATTATTATAATAATAAATTATTATTATTATTATTATTATTATTATTATTGTTGTTGTTATTGTTATTATTATTATTATTATTATCATTATTATTATTATTATTATTATTATTATTATTATTATTATTATTATTATTATTATTATTATTATTCCGTCTGTCTGTTGGGTTGTTGTATCCACTCAGCACGGGGTGGCCCTGACAGGCTGAGTCGAAGCAACAGCGTCTAAAGAACAATTTAAATCATTTTGTTGGGGTGAAATAACATTAACGAACCAATCCGGTCTCGTCTGGACCTGGTTAATTGTTCCCCCTGCCCCCCACCCCACTTAAGTTAACTAAAAACGTCTGTCGCATATGACGCCACGGCGATCCATATGGTTCTTCTGAGAACAGAGACCCTGGCTTGCCCCCCCCCCCCCTCCCCCAAATCCACCCAGAATGGAGGCCCAGATGTACAAAATAGACCATGTAAATTCTAAATATAGGCCTCAAGTATACTTTTACCTCACTGAAATAACCTTGCCCTCATTCCATAAGCAGTCAGGTGTAACGTGCAATGCAGCACTAATCCCGACCACATACTCACAAATAACCAAAGAAAGAGAAAGTAAGAACAATAATAAGACATCGTAGTATAACAATGGCCAATCCGCAAGATAAGAATCGCCAGCTACACTGGACTTAAGTTTTAGTGGAAGGTAGCGCTTACAACGCTTACCTTGCCGAGCAATAGACTAACAAAACAAACATATGTCTTCACTCTCTACTGACTCTAGTCGGCCTCAGGCCAAAAACCACGAAATGGGATGAGGAGAAAGTATGTACTCTGAGAATTAATCAATCTATAACATTCAGAATATATCAACATCTTGTGCTCATGATCTTTCAGTTACTTCTATTCTATAAGGAGTGTGCCTTTTTGTAATACGACACAATATTCCAGCATCTCAATACTCCAAAGTTCTGTCACCGATTCAGTCTTGGCTTCCTAATGCTTGCTCATTCTACAAATTGTGTTCTTGTATTGCTGCATTTGTTCAAGCAACTCAAAGTCAAAGGAGTAAATGTATCGGTAACTGTCTTTTCCTAATTTTTGATTGCTAAGAATAAGTTGCTTTAAAGCTGGGGGGGGGGGTCATATTATATCCTTAGAATTCTCTCCCATTCTTTTGATACAATACTCTTCTTTTCTACTTCCTCCAATGTTTTGAAAATAATCGTACAGATGAGCTTTCGAAGAAAACAGACAGACCTTGAACTCGCTTGATTGACAACATCGACAGAACATCGCTATGTCTGTAGTCTTTAATTCAATTCTCTCCAAATGTGTGGTATCTTCTCTCTGCCGAAATACCTATGCCTATACATAGCTTACCTCATTCCCTTTCCCACCCGTCTCTCCCACTCTCCGTGGAATTGGAGGAAAAGGGAGAACTGGATTCTTTTACGCCCCGCTAACCCCTTAAGTGTATCATATCATTAAAACTCAAAAGTGTATTCTTGTATATGACGTAGGGGTGGGTGAAAATCGATTGCTTTTATGTCATTTCATATGGCTTATTTTGCTTGGTTTTCATGTAAATTGTGATACTAGCGTTTGATAACGATTTGACGTCCCGCCTCTTTCGATGTAACCAAACCCCTTAATTCGGAGATCATGCCTCACTGAAAATCTCTTCAGTGAGTGAGTATGAGCCTACACTATCGGCACATCGCATGCTTTAGCAGGGTTGCAAATAATTTTGAAATGCATTGCAGGTTCAGATGTTAAATATAAAAGCATGGACAACCAATTCGTTTTGTTTCTCGTGAACTCAGTGAAGGAGTCAGTCAGCCATTTTGAGCAATGCCACGAACTTATTTTACACTCATCCATTTTTAGAACTGCTGCCAGAGAAAAATATTAGCGCGGGTCAGAAGTGCAGTTCAAATCTTGCGTGGTAATTTGGGTCGATAAATTTATCTCTCCCGTCCTTCTCTCTCTGACGGGTCGGAGCGCTCTCTGCTACTATCAATGATCAAATCGCCTCGCTGTGGAATCGCGACCTAGGTACCGGGGCGGAGATGGTTAACACCACTCCACACTACCGGCCGTTCTTCACAGAGGGACAGCAACAAGGGTAGACCGACCCTTTTCCGGGATATTTCAGGGAAGGTGTAGAGATAGGTGTGTGCAGACACTACAAATTTCCATCATGTTGAGGGATAAATCTTCCGGATTTTCGAAGATAGCGGCGAACTTGTGGGAAGCGAAGCGGTTACTTGAAAAGTGAGTATGTCTGCGTAATATGGGTGTGCGCATGTTTGGGTCTGTGTGCAAGTGCATGCGCGTGATGTGTGTTTGTGTTTTTGTGTATTTGTGTGTGTGTGTGTGTGTGTGTGTGTGT